CAGCTCCCGTAAGGTGGAGGTAAGTTGTGCCTCGCGTAGGCCCTATCCTGTCGTAGGGGCTTGCGAGAGGTATGGCTGGCGCACTCGGCCGGAGCAGCCTAAGGAAGCTTAATTTGTGTGTTCGCGGCAAGGTTGGTCCAACTCCTGCGTGACGCGGCCGAGAGGGTCCCGTTGCCACGTGCAGTGCCGGACCGATGCGCCTGACAGCGGCACTACTCCTGTCAGCGACTCTTACTGAAAACTAAGATATCATCTAAATAAACTACTACGAACTTGTCTAACCATGGCCTAAACAGGTCATTTATACAACGCTGAAAGGTGGTTGGTGCATTGGTTAGTCCAAAGGGCATCACTATGAACTCATAGTGCCCATATCTGGTCCGGAACGCAGTCTTGTACTGGTCATCAGGATGGACTTCTATCTGATAATATCCGGACTTCAGATCTATCTTAGARAAGTACTTGCAACCTTGYACCYGATCTAAAAGATCGTCTATTATGGGCAGCGGCTCAACATTCTTCACAGTAATCGCATTCAAACCCCTATAGTCTATGCACATACGAAGCTCTCCTTGCTTCTTGGGGACAAATAAAACTGGTGCTCCAAAAGGAGACGAACTGGGCCTGATCCAACCTTTCTCAAGGAGCTCGTTTAACTGCTTGCGCAACTCCTCTAACTCTCTAGGGGACATCCTGTAGAGTGCTCCCTTAGGAGTTCTATTGCCAGGCTCTATCTCTATCCTGTGCTGGATGGGTCGTGGCACTACTCCTGTCGGCGACTCTGTCAAGTCTTTGAACTCTTCCAGCAGCTTGGCAATTGTTGGATCTGTGGAAGTCACCTCTTCCTTAGCCTCAGTGACAGGTCTAACATAAACTACAAAGACCTGGTCCTCTAACTGCTCCTTTTTCACTAATCGCGCGAACGCGGGAGCACTGAGACACCAATGTGCCAAGGTGTTATCTACACCTGACACATGAAACAGGTGGGCAGCCTTAGCCTCGCCTGATGGACTAGGGAGCCTACACTCATGCTCTCTCAAATGGAGTGTGGCCCCTGCTGCCTCTCCCCAATCCATTCCTAACACTATGTCGAAAGGAAGGTCATCCTGTACGAGGAGAGTCAGGGAATGGAGAACTTTCTCCACCTTCCCATCCTTCTCTAGGCGAAAGTACGTCTGGACTCCCTCTACATAGTCCTCATTATGCATCGTGCGGTTGTCTGCGAGGACACTAACTATAGGGTCTGCTAACTTCTGGACTTTTAGTCCTAGCCTCAGCTTCTTCAATGCGCCACGGCTAATATAACTGCGGGTGGCCCCTGAGTCGATGAGGGCCCCTACTCTGCTTCTAAACACTTCTACGTCTACCAAGATTAGTTGTCCCTTACTCTCCTTCTTCATTTTGGCCCAGGCTGGCATTCTCTCCTTCAACTCTTCTGCCACACCTGTGAGGGACGTGCCTAGAGAGATGCTAACACAAGCAGTCTCTGGACAGCTAACTAGGCACGGGCCTGCAACCTATGCCATAGGCTCATGTGGGTTGGGAGTGTCCTATTCGCGCGCGCTCACTTCTCCACATGGCCTTAAAGTAGGGGCAGTTGCGACCCCTACTAGCGGCTGCCTTTTGACTGCTGGGGAGCCCAACGGGCCTGTTTGTACTTTGGACAAAATTTAATTACGTGGGCCGAGTCACCACAAAATATGCACTGACCCTGGCCTACGCGTTCCTGCCATAATCGTTGGTCCAAGCCCAAGTCCTCTCAGGGCCTGCCCTGTGGCAAGCTTGGGTGCCATCCTCCTTGAGGTGCCCGTCCACCTCTTCGCTGCGGGGACCGATTAGAAGCCGGGCGATTTGGCGGGGAACCTTGACCCCTACCTCCCACTTGGCGGTTCCCTTGTCCGCCAACCCCTTGTGCGCCAGGTCCTCGGCCTCCCATGGCTTGGCCTCTTTGGCCCTGGCCTCCTCCTCTACTTTGCGGCCTCCCTCCAGCCGCGACAACAACATAAGACCTCCCCTGCCCCACGCTACTGTCCTCCTCCTCGAGGCCCCACTCAATGTGACTTCACGGGACCTCATATGTACCATCTTCCTCTAAGGTAAGGATCATATGATCCTTGGCCCTCACTTGGCTTGAGATGGTACGACCTTTCCACCTTTTTCCCTTATCCAGGTCCTTATGCCAGAAAGTGGTAACTGGCATGGACTTTGACTCATACAGGACCACTTCCCTACTCAACGCATCATAAGTGATGCCGGCCTGTTGAGACTTGTCAAGAAGTGCCCACGCAGGGCCTCTGGCATGGCACGATAAAATAACTCGACCAATTGGGTCTCGGTGACCCCATGGTCTGGGACGGCTACCAAGTCATCCGTGGTGCCCTTGAGTGCTCTTGCACTCCTCCACTATCGCGAGTGGATCGTTTGTAACTTATCAGAGACCCTGACGCCTCTCGTTGGATCAGCGAACCGCTCCTTCATGAGCTTAAAGAACTGAGGAAGGGGGGTGACTTTTCAGTATGCAACCATGTTGTTTTGACAACCGACTGCGCGCGCACGGGATTTGGCGAAACTAGTCACCTCATCCTCAAGGGCCTGGAAGGCCACGAGGACTTGTTCCTCTGTCAGGATGTGTTGTAGATACACGTAACTATTGACACTGGCCTCCCAGTTGTCAAAGTTCTCCTCCTTCTTCCCTCCATATGCATCCGGGAATTTAAGCTTGACTAGGTCCTTGCGAGGCCTGGCCTCGCCCTCTACAGCGGCTATCGCTTTGGCGCCTTCGATAGCGCCCTCACAAAACTTTCCCACATTGTCTCTCAGTTGCCTGACTTCGCCCCCGATGTGGGTGACTATATCACGCGCAAAATCTCTAAATCCCGACCGCATGGCACTCAAGGCTACTTCTTGGCTCCAACTGGCTTGGTGCTCCTCCATCCATGCTGTGCTCAGCACCTACAGGTACCCCAATACCTTATCCCATTTGGCCTTATCATCTGCCTAGGCCTGCACTTCTTTCCTACAGTCTTGCACCTTCGCCACCTGTGCGGTCAGTTTGTTGACTTCCTCTCTCCTCCTCTTCTTTTCCCTCTTCATCCTCAATTTTCATGCCAACTTCTGCTCCTCCTCCCTTTCTCGTCGTTCCATAGGGTCCTCCATTGCTGCTAGCTCACTGGCTAGCGCATCCCTCTCATCCTGAGTCACATAAGACTTCGCCTCCTCGTCTTCTCCCAACGATAAATTAGCGACCCACTCACTTATCCTCCTCTCCATCTCTGCGTCAGTATCCCCCTTTGTGCCACTATTCCCTTCTCCTCCCTCAATACGTTTTCTTTCTTTTTCTTCTTTTGCTGCTGCTTCTTCTTCAACAACCTTTCTCCTCTCTTCCTCTTCCTGTTGAACCCTCTTCATCTCCTCCTCCAACCTCTTCATCTTAGCCGCATGCTCCTCCGCGATAGCCTTTAACTTCGCCTGCTTCGCGAGCTCTTTCCTCTCCTTGTTTTCTCTCACTAAGGCGGTCATTTTCTCTTGCTGCTAAGGGATGTATGGGCTAGTACTCTTCCCACTACACAAGCCCACCATGGTGACAAGTGTACAACCGGATTAGTGGTTCCAAACCTCACCACATAGACTCTGACCCCTGACTGACAAACCTACTGACTCAAGCTAAGACTCACAGAATCCGGACATAGATCCTGTCAACTATGGTCTCTAGCCTAGACCTACACTATGGCTGTCACTACTAGACCTGTTGCTGATCAGGAGGCATTTAAGGAGATCCCCCGAACTCCTCAGGAATTATTTAACGTCGCAGACAGGACGACGCGATCAGCAGGTCTCTCAAGACTTAGACGATCTGTTGTACAGCCCACAGCTCGGATTTCGGGCCTACCGTGCCACACCGAGCAGCCCGCCGGTCAGTACCAGTCCTTGGGAGGGTTCGTGTCCTTAGGGACAGTCGAGTCGTCAGACACATCTTTTAGCCCTACTGATCCCGTGTGGGTTTGGTCAACAAGACCCTATCCTTCATCCACAGAGTACTATCACCTAGGACAGAAGAGACTCGATTTAGAAAGAATAGACAAACAAACTGGACTCAGCAAGTACCAAGGGGTGTGTGCACATCCATAGGGCGAGGGACAGGCTGAAGGCTTGGCGAGATGTTACCGGCTCCAGCTTGGTCAAAGTCTTGGTCAACGCCTTGGTCAACGCCGGTCAACGCCGTGGTCAACTCCCGGTCAGACCCCGGTCAACTCCGGTCAACGTCGGTCAACACCTCCGGTCAACCCTCTCGGTCAACCCTCCGGTCAACTATGGCTGCCGGCTTCTCTTTCCTCACCAACCTCTTTCTTCCCTTTCACCTTCCTCGCCTCCTTTCACCCCGGCTGTCTTCTTCTTCTCTTTTTTTTTTTTTTTCTTTTTCTT